TTTAGTTACATTGCCTTGTTCCATGTGGACTGAAAATCATCCCTCATAGTTAATGGGTCAAGGCCAAGGGGAAAAAGGATAGTTTGAGTCAATAGTTGAACATTGTCACCCACACTCTAGTCTCTACTTAATGAGGTCTGTCTGCAATCTCAGAGTACATTAAAGAGATATTTGGGGACTTGAAAGTCCAGTCTTAGGAATTTGGATTGAACAAGTTCTAATGGAGCAAAATTGAAAACGCCCATTTGGGCATCACAAAGTAGTTTAGTGTATGATGATATAACTTCTCTTGGGTAGTATGGATTCCACTCATTTTAATTTACCATAGGCTCTAATAGGTAGATTGAGGGGAAAGCAGAAGACAGAATGATGGTACCTATGCTCACCTCCAATTCCTTCAATTTTTTTATTAATAAACATAAACAGATCTGGATTAATTATAGTTATTCTGCTGAAGCCACCTCAAATTTCATTATGCAATCCCCACTTTCATTCACTGAGCTAGCCAATTAAGCCTCGCCTATTATCTTTCTTCAGGGACGCGGTGGCTCAGTGACTAAGACGCTCAGCTTGTTGATCAGAAAAGTCGGCAGTTCAAATCACTAGTACCATGTAACCAAGTAAGCTCCCATTACTTATCCCCGCTTCTGCCAACCCAACAGTTCGAAAGCATGTAAAAATGCAAGTAGAAAAAATAGGGACCACCTTTGGTGGGAAGGTAACAGCATTCCATGCACCTTCAGTGTTTAGTCATGCCAGCCACAAGACCACGGAGACGTCTTCGGACAGCGCTGGCTCTTTGGCTTTGAAATGGAGATGAGCACTTCCCCCTAGAGTCAGGAACGTCTAACACATATGTGGAAGGGGAACTTTTACTTTTATTATCTATGGCAGGGATGTCAAATGGTGGCCTGCGGGCTGGATGCATCATGTGCAGGCCGTGCCCACCCCAGATCTTCAAAGGGAAAAAATGTCACAAAACATCATGCAATGGCAATGTGATGCCGCGAGTTTGACACCTGTGATCTATGGGTTCAAAACATAATATAGAAGACTGTGGCTTTCAATGTAAGAGGAATAAATGATAAAAAGCAAAAATAATGAATGAATTGAAACAAAAATAGGTAAAAGAGCTGAATGAAGGTTGTCTTATTTTGTGGAGTAGAACCATCAGGAAGGATAATGTAGGGTTAATTATTCATGGAAGAACTGAAATATTTATCAAAAAATATGAACTGGTATTATCTAGGTTGTTGTATATGAGTATGAATATAGAAATCTGTAGAATGCTAGTAATTGCATGCTCTAGTGACAATGGAAGAACTAGGGATAAGTTCTGAGAAAAGATTCACAACACTCTAAATGTGATTGTTCTGATTGAGCAATTATTCTGTTAGGTGGCATGAATGGTTGGTTGAAAACATAAGAAGAGAGTGAAGAAAATACAATTGGCTTGCTGAGAGACACTGAAAGAAGAAGAATCTAGATTGTTTCAGGTCAGAGTTGCACAACATTTCCAGCTTTATGGACTGGTGTCGTGGTGGGGGTTGTACAAGGCATGGTTCTGTGCAAGAAGCAGGCAAGCTTACATGTGCATGAAGCTCTATTTGTGCATGCACAAATGGGCATGCACACCCATCGGTCATGCAAATGGAGCCCGTGCACATGTGCTTACCTACTGCTTATGCAAGTGGGAATGCACATGCATGCACACTAGCCTGCCACTTCCATGATCCGGTTCCAAACATCTTAAGATCTGGTAGTGGGCTGCAGCCGGTGGTTTGGCCACCCCTGGCTTAGAGAGTATCTGATTAGAAAAAGGTCCATTTCAAATACATGGTTTAACCACATCGCTGTACCATCCATAGGGCAAAGGAATGAATATAAATCTAACAGCAAGATTTAGTGTTAAAAGTTTGCATATGAACACAGGAAACTGAGTTTGCTCTTTTATGAGACACCCATTAATCACAAATATAAATTCATTTCGGTCAGTTTATAGACCAAAGATTCAAAGCAAGTTCTTCCAATTCAATAATGTTCTCTTTACTACAAAGAAATATGTTTTTTTAAAAAACAAAAAAACCCAAAAGTGGCAGTTAGTAAAACCCGATTTGCACTGAACTATACTGAACTAAATTAGAGCTAAAAAAAAGGATGTAGGAAATGTTGTTTTACATCTGGAAACATTCACAATTTTAAAAATTCATTATTTTCTTCTTCAAATATGTATTTATTATTCATGCATACATTGTACCTCATTGATAGCTACAAAAGCTAATTGTACAGGTCATAATCAACTTACAACTACTATTGGAGCCAGAATTTCTATTTCTGAGCAAGGCGATTTTTAAGTGAGTCACACCCAATTTTATTAACTTTTTTGCAGTTGTGGTTAAGCAATTCACTGCAACCATTAAGTGTATCATCCAGTTATTAGGCGAATCTGGCTGGTAAAATCCCATTTACCTGCTAGAAGTCATCTGGGAAGGTCACAAAGAGTGATTATATGATTCCAGCACTTTGCACCATACATGCCAGTTGCCAAGCACTGAAATTTTGATCATGTGACCCTGGGGATGCTGCAATGGTTGTAAGTGCAAGGACTGATCGTAAGTAATTTTTTCTAGTGCCATTGTAACTTCAAATATTCACTATATGAATAATGGTAAGTTGAGGACAACCTGTAGTTATGTAATCAGTAAATTCAAAATGCAGCATAAGCATCTGGCGGAATGTTAGCATTTCAAAAGGCAACTGATTCATTTCCTGTTTTTCATATAGATAGGTAAAAAAGTTTGTTATGCCAAAAATAGTCTTGACTATTAGGAGCATAGTGTGACAGACTGCATAACCGGCTGCAATGGGACACTAAATCTAGCAAAAGACTTAAAAAGATAAATACAGTGACAAGTATATTTTAAATGAAGGAAGGCCATTTGCTTGGACAAAAAGAAGCTATTTAATGGATCAATGGATAATGGGTTTTTATTGACAATGATTGCACACAGACCCCCTTCTAAGACTGTCAAACACAATCTTTCTCCTCCCCTCCTTTAGTTGCAGAAAATGAAGCCCATGAGATTATTTGTCTCAATGACAAACCACTTCAATAGATTCTATTGAAATATACTGTGTTCCAATTGATTTCTCCAGCATACTTTGCAATAATGTGTACCATTTTAAACATATTGCCTGCTAATTTGTTTGATTTTGTGAAACATAGCTTCTACAGAACATTCTTCAAATGTTTAATTTGAATTTTATTAAATTATTATTTTATTGTTCTTATTTTAAAGGCTATTTTTAATGTTGTCTGAGAAGGCCCTTCTTTTCTAAGTTGAATTTCCTACTGCAGGAGTTACCATATTATTCAGAGTGTAAGATGCTCTGGAGTATAAGACGCACCTTAATTTTGGGCGATGAAAATAATAAGAAGAAAAATTCTGCCTCTGCCTATCTGCATCCATGGTATTTAGCTGACACATGGCAACAAGGTCAGCCAATAAATAGGCATAGCAACTAAGTCAGCCAATGAGGGCTATTTGGACTCTGAAATTTGCTGTATGAGCAACAAGGAGACAGAAAGGAGCCTGGCTTAGATGAGAACTGAAAGTGAAACTGCTTGTGTTTTGCTTATAAAACCTGCTTTTGGTAATGTATTGTATATTGTTGTTGTTGTTATTATTATTATTTACTTTATTCATTATACATGAAACTCAGAAACTGAACATTCAAAAATGCATTACAAATACCAGTGATTGGTGCTAATGGTTGATATGGTTTGGTGCCAGATCCTAGGTATCAACCAAGTATCTTCTTAAAATATAAGATGTTCTGAATAGCACAGTTTTTTGCAGTTCTGCTGGTGTTATTGCAGGAAGCTGCAATTTGTTGATGTATCTTGTAAAATTCTTGGACATGGTGCCAAGTGCCCCAATGACAATGGGTATCACTGTTGCATGCTTCATCCATAGCCATGTAGTTTCGATGGCCAAGTCGTGATATTTCATTATTTTTTCTAGTTATTTTTCTTCGACTCTGGTATCTCCAGGAACAGCAATATCAATAAACTGTATACTTCGGCCCTCAACAACCGTGATATCTGGCGTGTTGTGCTCCAAATGACGATCCGTTTGTATTCCAAAGTCCCACAGGATCTTCACCTTCTCATTTTCGATAACCTTTTCCACTTTATGTTCCCATGACTTTTTGGATACAGGTAAATCATATTTTTTTTAAAATGACCAGTGGATTAATTTAGCAACTCAGTCATGTCTAGCTTTGTAATCAGTTTGTGCGATTATTTACTATTTACTATTTATTATTTATCCTGCTGAATCAGTTACTGTGCTTTCTGAATGTGATTGCTGCTGCAAAATCTGACCAGCTAGGTCACCTTCAGCATTTATTGCAGCCTGATTCAGCACAGCTGATTGGTGGGTGGATTGGATTGCCGGAAAACCCCCAACCAGCTGTTCTAGGCTGCAGGGATTGCCACAGGCCATTGCTGCCTCCATGCCTTGCATTTTTGGCCTCTGGTGGGGGTGTATACATTCAATGTATAAGATGCACACAAATTTTCACTCTCTTTTTTGGGAGGTAAATATGCGTCTTATACTCCAAAAATACAGTATTTGTAATAAGAGTCTGTAAATTATTTGTCGGGAGATTCCTTGCCTATTGGGCAATCTACTACAGTACATTTCAATCATTTCTTAGGATCACAAAGAATGCTGCAGTGGTAAAAAGCTGCCTTAATTTTTCAGATTTGTAACAGTCAACTGACTTTCTCATTAGAGTCCGTAGTATCCTATATCCTCTTCTACAGAATTACTCTCCATAACGCACTAAGAGATAGCACTGTAAACTTGGTTTTATTTGTGATGATGGCAGTGAAATTAATTGTCAATATTATATTGAACTTGCATGATGTTCATGATTATTAAAATTAATTCTACTACTCCACCTTTTTTAAAAAAATATTCGATATATTTTACCTGCGTGGATCAGTTGAAAGGTTCTTTCTTGTTTCCAATGAAGTCCTAAGATAGTTGTAAAAAACAGAAGAATATTAAATATATAGTATTAGATAAACTTATGAAAACAATTCTTACACAAATCATACATCTAATTATCTATATATTGTAAAATATATTTTAAAATATTAAATGTATTTTTAAATAAAAGCTTTAACTGCCATATAAAAAGAACACAAAAAGTATTAGTTTAACATCATTTTTATAAATATTTGAAATCTGAAGTATTTATAATTAGTGAATCTACACTGTCATTCTGTAATGACATACAAATTTATACTGTGTTATTGCTATATTTTTTATACTCTATTTTACTGATAACTAGCATATCTCTCTTAGTTTACATGTTGCTCCCCAAATTTTCAAAAGTATGTAATTTCAGTAGAACCTCCTAGCACAGTGGTGGCTAACCTTTTGCCGACTGAATACCCAAAGCGTGCACGCTTGCCCAAAGCACCAAAATGCAATGTGTGCTTGTCCCCCCTGCGCATGTGTGTGCAACACCCCCGCATGAATCCTGCCCCATGTGCATGCACAAGCGACCTCCCCCACATGTGTCTCCACACATGCATGGCAGAGACCCGAGGACCATCTGGCTGGGGGGAAGGCACGCGCGCATGCACAGTGGAGCTAAATTGGGCAACAGCTTGTGTGCCATAGGTTCACTATCACGGATTTAGCATGCCCTACATGTATACACGTTTGTGTGTGTGTGTATGTATGTCTGTATGTATGTATATTAGAGTTACAGATTATGCCTTTGCTATAATGGTAAATATGAAGATTTTTATTAAATCTATAATTTTACATGTACCAACTCTAATCATATGGTGATTTCTGGGAAGAAGCCTTATATACATAAACCAAGTGTTTTAGAATCATTCTTTTTATTGATACGTTACTAAAACATTGCATTAACTTATATCTATCTTCTCCTCTCTTGACATCTCTATTAAATGGTTAAAAATACAATTATCTTTCCTTTCACCATAGGAACAGATGGATCTTTATAGATCAGCTGCTTTAAAGCCTGGTATTTCATTTTAGTTTAGAAGGGGAAATCTGTTTTGCGTGGTTCAGTGGAAAGACTGGACCTGAACTAGGAGCACATAATTTAGCTAACTCTCTCTGGTAAGATGATCATAACATTGTGATCATGCAAGCAGCTGTCAAATACTCTCATGCAGATGCATATAAATATACCACAGTTTACAGATTTTGTTTAAATGCACCTACTCACATGTTCACACATTTACAAGTTGTTTTCATAAATAGTTTAAATTAGGATAAATATTCATACCATCTCATCTGAAAACTACTGGTAGTGAATAGTTGTATTTTTTTGAGGATGAAATCATCTTTCCTTAGTTGTTCCTTCAAATTCACTTTTCAAATTCAATGACAACGTTCCCAGAATTGATTGTCCAATGATATCACTCTATCCCTCTAAACAGTACAGATTGTCTTGAAAGTAAATTCAGTATTTACATTTACATCTAAATTTTAATCCCAATGACATTAAAGTAGCATGAAAAAATAATCTGATTCAAATAAGTTTTTAATCAAATGCACAAGTGAACAGGTTTATGTCTTGGCTTTTTCAACATTGTAGATAATGTGCATCCTTCCTTTTGTATCCCTCACAACCCCAATTATGTGAATGTAGACTGCACTGTAATATATTGGATGGTCATCCACTTTAACAGCTAAGGATGGACTTAAAGCTCGATCTTTCAGGCTGAAAGTCGAACTCTATTTTATAGACTAGTAAAATAATGAAACAAGAAAAACTGTTTTAAAAAAGAAAATCTACCTTCCTATAACTTTCAACTCAAGAGAAGTCCAAAAATTTCTGATCCGTCAGTAGATCTCCGAGTTTCTTTGGGGACAACTACATAACAAGGTCTACAGAGTTTGGTGTGTGATACCACTTAAAAGTTTTTCTGAAGTGCTAAAACATGGGTGTCAAACTCATGTTACATTGATGTCACACGATGTATCATATTCTTCCATTTGCGGAGCTGGGGTGTGTGTGGCTTGTGCATGATGCATCCGCCCGACGGGCTGCCAATTTGACAACCCTATGCTAAAAGAACCAAAGGCCAGAGTAGCAATACAGAGACAAGAGTTAAAAGATAAAACTTCTAAAATCTTCTAATATTTTGAATAATTGGAAAGTGAAAATGAAAGCTGTTTCTTATTCGGGAGAGACAATTACAATGTGCAAATTATGATTACAGGTAGAACTTGACTTACAACTGTCATAGGGCATTATGGTCATAAATTATGTCAGTCACAAAGGGGGTCACCCACATGATGGACTTGATTTTACAAACTTTTCTTGTAGTGGTCACTAAGTGAATGACCACAGTCATTAAGCCAATCCATGGTCATTAAGTAAACACTTCGGTTATTAAGCAAAACCCATTGTTTGCTACAGACTGTTTTTGCCAAAAAAACAAAATAAATACTGGTTTTCAGTAAAAATGCCATAAATTGTGGTTATGTGATTGTGGGATGTTGCAAACAGCTGTAAATGCGAGCCAGTTGCTGACTGCCAAAATGTACTCACGTGATGGGGAGAGGGAATCATAACTAGCTCATAAATAGTTGGGCAGCCTGCTGTAACTTTGAATGGTCACTAGGCAACCAGTCATAAGTAAAAAATTACATGTGCCTGGTATTCACTGGTTCTCTCTTTGGCCAGGACAGCTATCTTCCTTTTCTGTTGATACATACTATTTTATGTCTGTTTTTAATTTTGTACATTGCCTAGAGTCATCAACCAGTCGGTTGGACTTAAAATGTAAATTATACATAAAATAGAAATAAATATCCAATCCAGCATGCATATTTTCCCTAATGGAGCAATGGAGCCTACATCAGTATGAGAATCAACTTGTACAAAAAGCCACATCACAAACGAACAATTTCCAACTAGTCAGTTCTGGTTGTTTTGATTTTTAGTATTCTCTCTCCCTCCCTCCCTCTCTGTATTTGGAAATAGCACCCTTTTAAAATGAGAGAAATTAAACCTCTTTCTAAAAAAGAACAAGGATGTCTACCATAAAAGTCAATTAATACAGTATGCCTATGACAGATTGCACTGAGGTTGAGAGTGAAGGAAGTCCCTAGACACAAACAATCAGCAGATGGGAAAGATTGTTACAGGCTTATCAAGGAAATGGATTCGGTGTCGGTCACACAAACAGTCTGGGAAAAGGAAAATCAAAAGCTTTCAAGAAAGCTGTTTTGATGTAGAAGGACAAGTGTGATTCTTGCTTCCCTGATCCTGCTTTGCAGGTAAGACTCGAGAATGCCCCTAGCTTGGGAAACAATTATAGGACCAGAAGGGAAAAGAAAGAAGCTTTGACTTAAAGGCAAAAGAGTCCTCCCTCAGCCAGGTTGCTACTTCAATTGAATTTTCAATTAAACACATACCCCCATCTCATCTCCAAAAGCTTATTTCATTTCCTAACAACATTTAACATAATAGCTCTAGTGTAATTTCAATTCTAAAAAACAATGAATGAACCAAGATTGAACAATTCTGAACTAAATGGATAACTAAATAGAACTGGATATGTTTAGTCTTATGAAGAGAAGGACTAGGGGGAGTGGTGGGTTTCAATTTATTTTACTATTGGTTTGCTCATGTGTGTGCGTGGGCACAACAGTTTTGCGCATGAACAGAAGTGTCCAGGCAGGTGGGTGCCACCACTACCGGTTCGCCCAATCCAAGGTGAACTGGAAAAAACCCACCTCTGACTAGGGGTGACATGATAACAGTTTTCCAATATTGGAGGGGTTGTAACAAAGAAGTGGGGGAAAGGGGTCATCCTATTCGCCAAAGCATCTAAGGGCAGAACAAAAATTAATGGATGGAAGCTTATTAAAGATCCAACCTAGAACTAAGGAGAAATTCCTGACAGTAAGATTAATTAATCAGTGGACGCTTTTAAGAAGAGATTCGACAGCCATTTGTCTGGAATATTATAGGGTCTTCTGCTTAAAAGAGGGTTGGACTAGAAAACTTTGAAATCCCTTCCAACTCTGTTATTCTGTGTAATAATGCAGTAACAATTAAAGATTTTATCCTAACTCTGGAAATTAATTTAAAAAACCCTAACAAAACTTAAGTATTGTGTTATTTTTCTGATTTGCCAAAAAGGGGGACTATATTTTTAAATTCATAGCAGTTCAAAGTCTCCAAAATATTTCTATTTTAGGAAAAAAAATATCTTGTACCTAACAAACAAAGCATGTCATTTTAAATACAAGCTCAAGTATTTTTACTTCTTTTTGTTTGCTTTTACTATGACCCAGGAGGAACTAATAATGATGATCTTGCGATTCTTTGTTAACATGAGATCTGGGAATTGAAAATAATGAACTTAGTTTACTTGCAGATAAGTCTTGTCTGCAATATAACATATAAAATCTATGTATATAAAAGTCTAATGCCCCACACTCATCACAAAATCTCCAGAACTGTAAAGCCTACAACTTGAAATCTGACACATATGTTGCTCTTGGCTTGTAGGTGCTCGCTAAGAAAGGATTTTTCAAAATGACCATCAGAACATTAATATTTCTTATACAATAATTAACAAGCTCTGATGCTAAGGGATTCTACTCCCCCTCCCCATCTGAAAAGAACTCTGTTCCAACTGCCAGTTGACTTATATTAACACGCTCTGATGCTAAGGAGTTAGACATTCTACTCCCCCTCCCCATCTGAAAAGAACTTTGTTCCAACTACCAGTTGCCTCACATTTCCTTGAAGGTAAAGGTTCCCCTCGCACATACATGCTAGTCATTCCCTAGAGGGCATTTCATCTCCATTTCTAAGCTGAAGAACCAGCACTGTCTGATGACAATTCTGTGGTCATGTAGCTGGCATGACTAAATGCCAAAGGCACATGGAATGCTGTTACCTTCCCACCAACATGGTACTTATTTTTCTACTTGCATTTTTACATGCTTTCGAACAGCTAGGTTGGCAG